TTGTATTTGTTTAAACTGTCACAACTAGCTCACCAGAGCTACAAATTGGACTAAGTTTAGCGCAACAGCACTACAACTTATTGACAGCGGTCATCTACAACAACGAAAATCACTAATGGCTCCTTGTCACAGAATGAGGCTGGTGGTGGTGGCAGCCCATATTCAGAAACATAAACATTGGTATTTGTCTTATTGCATTATGTAAAGAAGTACTTATTTTTATGTTTCCACTTTTCTACTTTTTTTTAAAAATCATCTCCTACAGGTTATTCAGCATAGTACCTACCTTAGTCTTGGTTTACATTTTGCTGCATCAGAATTAAGCAACGATGTTAGGCAAACAGCAGTTTTGGCATTTAGTTAGTTTCTCTTACGTTCAGGCTTGGCACTTACTTATGGTTTATGTTCTGGACTATAAAAATTTGACACCAAACCGTTACTTCTCCAAACAAGTTTTCATATTATGTCTTTGCTCTTAACTTTTTCTAGCCTTCTACAAGAATCAATGAATATGCACAGATTCAATAATTCATCTAATTGAGTTGCTAACCTTAAAATACACATGTTATTGCCGAAGCCTTTTAACATCAGATGTAATTGATTTTATTCATGAAGAAGCTTTTATAACAATGACCTGAGTGATTCCCCTGTTAATGCATTCAGGTAATTGGAAAAAATTATTCTGGTTAAGCATGAGGATGCTATGAACGAGATGCATAAATTGCTTTGAAAGACAAAACATAACAAAGTAAGTGCAGTTGTTGTTCTTACTATTTTTAGCCAATCTTGGTACTGGAATCTGCTCATATACTTCCTTAGCTTATGCTCTAGCACTTCAGCTATCATGAGAAACAAAAAGACAAAGCAGAGTTATATTCCATCATTTTTTATCTACTTCTGTAATCAAGAATGAAAAACACACCATTTTCGTTTGACATTCAGTCACAATAGATCTATCATACGTTCAAAGTTTTTCAATTATTACAGGCATTACTCACAGATTATTATGTGATTGGCAGATCCACGGTAGTGCCTAATTTTTATTTTAAACGTTTATATCGTGACACAAACGTTATAAAGCTCACCATTAGTTTGCAAGTAATGTATTTTCCCTGTAATTAACTATTACCTTTGCTCTTCAGCTCCACTCACCCCCCAAAAAAAAAAAAACCTATTATCTTTGGTTCAAGCTTCCCAGTTGAGAGTTGTAACTCACTGTTATGAATTATTACCCCATGTTGTCTGTGGATCTATCAGCCATGTTCTTTTTCTCTCACCTTTCTCACACTCCCCTCTTCTCATTTCTCCCTTGCCCAGTCTCCCCTGCACACACTACACACAGCGGACACCAGACATAGATGTGTGCAAAAAACGTACAGACATGGCTGTCGTGAACCAGAGTGGGATGGCTCCAATATTCACGTTCATGAGAAGTGACAATATGGGTTAAGCGTCATTTGGGTTCGCCTCAGTTCAGCCAAAAAGATTAGAAAGATGGTCTGGTCACGGCTCAAATATGGCTTCATCTATTTCCAATCAGATTTCAATTTTCCCTATTTTCAAACCCTATTCCTTAGAAATCATCGATAAGATAACAAAATTGACCCCTCGGCCAAAGTATCGACCAAGAAATGAAAGGGATGAATTTCCCACCCCTCGGCTACCCGCCGCACAAAAAACACAGAATTTGAACAGAAAAAAGGAATCAAATTAAATCATACTGAAAATATTACCACTGCCAAGATGCAATAAGCTGAGAGGGCGACAAGAATTCTGGAAACACGAACCGAAGGGTACAGCGAAGCGAGAAGGAAGCCCTGCAGCAGCCGCAGACCTACAGCGAAGGTTTAATCGACGACGCCATGGATAATATCCTCACCATTGTCACTCTATTTCTCTGTTCCCCGCTCACTCTCTCGTACATATGACCGAATTTCTATATATGCAGAGCAAAGAAGCTCTGAACTCTGAAGTGAAGCGTAGTGAAACCAAGCAATTAGATGCGCAAATTATTTGCGAACTGAGGACCCACGACCCAAGACCGAAAAGCCTGTGTTCAATTCGCAGCTGATTGGTTAAATCTTAAATTAGTTTCGCAGTCAAAGCAATTGCTCATCCACGATCATTGTACCATGCTTATTCTGCTTATACATTGCTTATTAAATTAAATATCTTCGCTTCCTTTTCCCTTCTAATTTTCTCCCTTCACTCATTCCTGCATAATTGCTTGTGACTATTTCAACTCCGTACCTTCTAAATTTACAATTTACCTTTTTACCGAACCATGAACAGATAAATAAAAGAAATAAAAGAAAACAAAAAAAAATTACATCTTCACAATATTTTCTAACGCTAATATCATTTTATATACCTCTCTGCTCTTATTTGTCTTGTATCAGCAACCAAACATTTTATCTATCAACACTTAGCTCCTCTTATCAACTAATATATATATATTGCTTTTACATGAGAAGCTTACTAACAGGTCTAAAGCTCCCACGCCTTGCGTGGGAAGCAACCCCTAGTCATCAAATAAAATTATCAGCGTAGCAAAAAATGGTTGACTATTTTGCATGGGTTTCCAGTTATATATCCTATGTAAACCTCCATATCAAGTAATTAGTTTCTTGACAGCATCCTCTGTCAGTCAAACAGGCCAAACTCCTGTTCATCATCTGACTCCTTGCCAACTTCTTCATGATTCTCCTCCTCAGCAGCTGAAGTAGCAGGGATGGCAGCAGCCCCACAAGCAGCAGCAGAAAACTTGCTTGGATCTCGCGAGTTCACTTTTAGTCAGTTAGATGATGAAAACCACAATTGAAGAGAGAAATCATGTATCTGTGCATTGGCCAGCCAGACCTTTCAATATACTTGCAATTGCTCAGCTGTTGGGAAAGAGTATTCAGTAGTTACCGCAACAGACAGAACATTAATGTAGGCATTGATGAACGTGAGTGACAGGCACTGCAGCAAGAGTTGGATATGAAAAAGCCACTGAAAGGGAGACCATGTCTGATTAACCGGCAGCAAATTTGGAGACGATTTCATCCTCTGTGAGGCCAAGGATGACTTCAGGTTGGAACACTGATCCATTCTCATATACAGACATGACAATCAAGCCATCAGGGAATGGCTTCATTTTAAGCCTCGACAGAAGATCGAAGATCAGCTTCAGATGAGCCGACCTTTTCACACAAGCTCCAAAGGAGTAATGATTCCCACAGTCCCCTAATTGATCTTGATAGGGATATTAAGCGCCTAAAATAGTCAAAATTCGCGGGATGGTCGTGATAAAGCAAACAGGCACCAGAAGGAACAAGAATAAACCTATGGGATATAAGTAGGATCACCTTTATTTCCAGCAGGAACAACAACATTAACCGGAGCAATGACACCACAACGCGCGGAAGACCCAATCTGTTTCAGCAAATCAAACATATGATGGTGGATACCACGTGATGGGTCTTAGGCGACAAATTGTATACATGAAATTCCGTCTGAACTCAGAAACTGCTCCTTCGTGCCTTGGAATAGGCAGGGCTTAGAATCATTAAGAAGTTAAGTTTCTATAAAGGCCTAATCAACATTTTTCCTGGAATTGCACGTCTCTTAGAACAAACCTTAAATGCATAAGAAAGTGAAAACACATATCCAGAGGACTCATGGACTATTTCTGAACGAGATAAACTTTTACAAAACTAATTGGAACCTAGCTAGAAGATAAGCATCCATCCATCCTTGCACTCTGGCAGGCAGAACTTACTAATAAGGTATTAGTAATCATTTATAGTAGCTTTAGATCTCCGTGAAGCGATGAGAGCTACCTTGATAACTTCCAACACTTGTAGGATTCTAACAATCTTGGAAATATGACTTTAGGCTTAATTTGCAGAGAATCACTCCAATCCACTTCTGGCCACCCGCGTACGTGAGATTGAGCAATACGAAGCCATTGCAAATTTGCAATCGCAACTAGCTAGGCATCAGTTATACCTCATCCTCACTTCTTTAAGGTCTCCGTATCTAAAAATCAACCCCACACGTCCCGCAAAATTACATGGAGAGGAAACACTATCTGGATTTCCTTCAATACGTTCAGCCACGGTGAAAATTTTTTCTATTTATTTTTCAAGAATATGAAACAATAGAAAATGAATATTACTGGAAAAAGGCAAATGCTTCTATTTTAACGGAAACAATAAATATTTCTGATCCATATGCTTAGATCATTAAAAAAAAAAAAATGGTTCTAGCAGCCATATTTTTTTTTTTTTTTTTGATAATGAAAACGGAGCTTCATTAAAGTAAATCTGCTTTTGCAGCGTACATAATCTCCTTTGGGAAGTTTACAAACCAGACGTGGCTTCCCTCCAAGATGCTTTTCCATAAGTAGGAAGAATTTGACCCAATCTTCGCTGAGCGAAACTCGGTTTTAGCAAAGTACTTTGCTCTAGCAGTCATATTCTTAGAAGATATTTACATAGCTCATATCCATTTCCGCCCATCAGAAACTGAAAATTCCAAAAAACAAAATGAGAACACGTTCTTAATTTCCAGACAAAGTTCTTTAACCCAGAACATCTCGCATCAATTATATCTTCACAAAAACCCAGTTAATAAATCATTCTTCTTCAGTCAAAACATAGAAGATTATTGCGGTAAATTATTGAAATAGGACAAAAAAGATGCGGAAAAGATTTACGACAGTAAACGTTTCTCTCTCTTTCTTTCTAAACTGAAAAAGTAGAGAAAAAACTAAAAAGAAGTCGTTCAGGACCAGTACCAGTACCAGTATCTCAGTAAGTGGCGGCGGCCGGGCTGGCAGGGCCTGCAAGAGAGAGTCGAACATAACCGGTTGTTGCAGGCGTATGGCTTGGCTATAAAAGTCCAGCTTCTTCGTTCTCTTTTGCTCATTTCTTCATTCTCTATTGCTTACGTTCATTTCTTCATTCTCTATGGCTTTCAGACGTGTCTCCAAACTCTTTCTTCCTTCCGGAGTGATGTCCTGCCACTCCGGTACTGGGAGACGCTGGTACGAAGCTACCACACCACCCCGCTCTTTCACCTGGCTGCATTATGGGGTCAAAACTTTGGTCAGACGTCAAGGTATATCTATCTACTTGATCTATCCATATACTCCTATCTATCCTGTTTTAAAGTGTCTTTGTTTTGTTAAGTTGGGCCAACTTGCGTACCAAATGCCGTCTGTGCTGCATTGGAAATGGCGTACCAGATCCATTGCAGGCAGAAGATTCTGCTCTCTGAACACGAACTTATCGAGTACGGCATCTCTGGCTCCTCCTCATTTGCTCTGGCATGGATTTCGAAGAATGGAGTAAGCCTCCGGGACGACTATCTCCAAGGAAAACAGGTAAAAACACGTTGAACACTCACATTTTGGCCCTAGATCTGCACACACAACGCACACTGGCGTCATTCCGAGCCATTGAAGCTGTATTTTGTCCTTTTTGTATGTATGCGTACATATATATATATATATATATATATATATATATATATATATATAAATATTTGCGTTTTTTGTATATATATGTGTATATTTTTGTGTATATATTTGTATATATATATATATATATTTTTTGTGTATATTGTTGTATATATATTTATATATATATTTGTATATATATATTCTATATATATTTGTGTATTTTTTGTGTATGCTATTTTTGTGTATATATATATATATTTGTGTATATATTTATATATATGTATATATTCGTGTATATATTTGTATATATATATAAATATTTGCTATTTTTGTATATATATGTGTATATTTTTGTGTATATATTTGTGTATATATATATTTTGTGTATATTGTTGTATATATATTTTGTATATATATATGTGTATATATATATTTTTGTGTATATTGTTGTATATATATATTTATATATATATTATATTCTATATATATTTTTTTGTATATATATGTATATATATTTTTTTATATATATATTCTATATATATTTTTGTATATATTTGTGTATATTTTTGTGTATGCTATTTTTGTGTATATATATATATATATATTTGTGTATATATTTATATATATGTATATATTCGTGTATATATTTGTATATATATAAATATTTGCTATTTTTGTATATATATGTGTATATTTTTGTGTATATATTTGTGTATATATATTTTTTGTGTATATTGTTGTATATATATTTGTATATATATATGTGTATATTGTTGTATATATATATTTATATATATTATATTCTATATATATATTTTTGTATATATATATATGTATATATATATTTTTTGTGTATATATTTATATATATGTATATATTCGTGTATATATTTGTATATATATATATTTGTATATATGTTTTTTGTATATATTTGTATATATATTTGTGTATATATTTGTATATATATATATATTTTTGTATATATATGTGTATATATTTGTATATATATATTCTATATATATTTTGGTATATATTTGTATATATTTTTGTGTATGCTATTTTTGTATATATGTGTGTACATATTTGTGTGTGTATATATATGTGTGTATATCTAAATATTTGCTATTTAACTTGGAGAGGACTTTACGACTCAATTCTCACTCTATCTCTATCTGTGTTATGAGCTTTAACATTTATATTTTGCAGGATGGGAAAATAATTTTTATTTACGATTTCATTCGTGGTCCTTCCCTCCATTCGAGTGATTTAATCAAATTCATCTTCAGACAGCCAGCTGTAATTTCTATAAAGTTCTGCAGCAAGTTCGGACGCAACAAAGGGGTATAAATTTAATTAATGCATATTTGGGATTGGAAATTGTAAATTTAGAATTTTTTTTTTTTGTTACAGGAATTTTATAAAATTGATGGGAAAGTAGCGAATGTTTTGCACACAATGGTAGCAGTGGGATGGGTGTTGGATGACAAAAATGAAGTGTATTTCATGGTGCACAATTCTTGGGGATCTGACTGGGGCAAGAATGGATATGGCTGGATTCATCAATCGTGCATAGAACGTGTTAGAGTGCCTATACTCTATCGTGATTGCAGAGTCATTGCTTGAGTGATATATAATATGACTTTCACGATATGTGCTAGAGGTTTAATCCCTTATAAGCAAGTTTGGTTGTATGGCTATCGTTTTTTGGTTAGGAGCTGTGACGGAATCAGGATTTTTCTTAGTAATTGTAATTATCAAGTCTGCTGGTTGAAAACTAATTTAAGAATTCTGGTAATTGTACGATGGAAATGACTGTCGCGGGTTGATAAACTGTTGACTTTGTGTTCATGGGCTGAAAACAAACAAATATTGCACCAGTTGCAGCTCCGGTCCTGTGGGTTTCCAACTGTTAAGCTGCATCCCAAGTCAAAGGCCTCTGTCTACCATGTGGTGGTTGATTTTTGTTATTGAAGTCGCGATTTCTGAATCGAAACGGTCTAAGCACAGCAAAAGAGTTACAAATTGGCATTCACATTCAATTTTAAGTCCCACTAAGGCTGCCCTGACGAAAAAATGTTATTTTCTGGTCTTGGCTTCCTTGTAACTGCGCTTTTTGTCACTTGTCTGGTCTCTAGAACCTTTGAAGATAAAATTTTGTGGGTGGGTGAAGATAGATGATATGTGCATCCATCCTGGTTAGTGCAAATGCTTGTTAGATCCAAAAATCATATCTGATAATTGGTAATTTATTGATCTCAGCTATGGTGCCAATGTTTGTCATTTGATTGCTAGATACATGTTTATCTGTAGTTCCATAGGCAACGCATTAAAAGGCTCTGCAGTTTGATCATCTGTCTTGTCCTGTATTTCAATTTTCTGTAGCACTTTTGTTGTATTCATCCTACACTTATGTACTACTAGGAGGATAACACTGCACGATGTGCGGTGTAATTTTCAATCGTGCCTAAATGCTCAATTATTCAAATTTAGATATTAAATATGAAAATCAATATCTCTATAGTTATGTTTTTGTAGTTTTATTAAATAGTGAAAATAAGCTACAGTTTTAGCTTTTTGTAGTTTTGGAAGTTTTTTTTTGCATAAAAGGAACTTTAAAATAATATACAATCATATTGAGATACAAAACGAGAATAAAATCCCCAAACAGTCATCTTGCTGCAACTAAAAATGGTGGGGCATAACATCAAAATAAAAGATATCTTGTTGTTAGCATCCTATACATTAGCTTAAACAATCTACCATCCAATTTGCTTCACTGCTTACATGCTTTGATCAAGACTTGCTGCCAAAATACGATAAGATACCTACAATAAGATATAACCATAGCACATTGTAAATAGCAGTATCATATTGGTTTAAAAGATTAAAAATATTAATAGCATCAACTTCCAATTCCGGTTTGTAGCAATAATGATCTATAGTTATCCCATCCTTAGTCCTCCTCTCAATCCCAAAAGTTCAGCTAGAAGATTGGAAGTTATTCCTAATCTTTTACTGATCCGATGGTCCAAAATCCATATCAATTCCTTATAACTCCAGCAACTCCAAGAATGCTTTTTAAACCCTACCAGTGATAAGTTTTCAAAAGCCATCCCTAGGACGAGTCTCTATACAATCATAACCTCATATTTTTCCCTAGTTATGGTCTGCCTGGGTTCTAAAAAGGAGTAATCAAAGGTATTCAAAAGAGGAGAGGATTGAGGTTTGCCAACGTAAAAAGATTAGATTTATTTTGATGATTCAATAAGGACCAGCCAGTGAAAGAAATCACAATGCCCCAAAGAACTCGAAAAAAGGGGAAGGGTTTTCTGCTAGGTATGTTTTTTTTTCATTCATTCCTCACAGTTTAAATGATGATCAATACCAATCTCCCAAGACAAGCGTCCATGTAATAAAATCAGTAAACAGAATAACTTTTCAATTTAACTTGAGAGAAGAAATCATACAACCGAAGCATTTTTTTGTCATTGTACAATTAGAACGGTTTAATTAATTAAAAATAAAATATATGATCCGTCCTTATATACAACTTCACATGAACATTAAACTATTCTATTTTATATCTTTTCAATTGAAATTTCAATTTTTATTTATAAATTTGAAGTGAATAATATGAGTACGATGTTAAATTTCGATTATTTACATTTTTTCTAAGTGTTATTGCTGTTAATAAAGAATGTTAATGATTTATATTATTCAATTATCTTAGATTAGTTGTTTAGTTGTCAATTGAAATTCAATTGATAAATTGATAAGACCTTAGTCTAGTGACTAAGGTTGAGATTCCAAGAAACTCTTGCCCCTTTCCACTTCTTAAATCTTACATGTTACTAATAAAAATAAAAAAATTAATTAATAGACATAGTTGATTTTTTATTCTAGCTTTTGTTTTTGTATTTCCTCATATTGATAAATTATACATATGCTTCGTGATATTTATATCAAGATTCATCAAATGAATATGGATATCGAGTCTTTTCTTATGTATTTCTCTAAGAGCATCTATTTTTGACATTGATATTTTTTAGAATCTTAAAATTGCAGCTAATGCAATTGGTTTACATTGCTTTGAGTACTTGCTTTAAGTAAGATACTATGATGCATACAAGAATCGGAGATGGAGTGCAAGGATTACTAAATAGTTTTCTATAAGGATTTGTTTATTTTTATTACCAACATTATTGAGATTGAATCATTTGAAACGTTTCATATTTTTAATTCCTACTACAATTAAATTGACATAATTTTAATTGAAAGATAGAAGGATAACTTAGGTACAATAAAATCTAAGAGCAAAAAGTGCTTATAGTCTATGTAGTAATACAATAAATAATAGATAGAGAGGTGGAGTCAACAAAATTTTCGTACAGATTTGAGTCAACACAACTTTCGTACAGATTTGAATCAGTTTCTGATTGCTCAAGATTTGTTTGTACCTTAATCTTTGACGGGTTCTCAACATGGATTCACTGTTACATCAACATCTGGTCGTCATGCTCGTTGGTTCTTATATTTATGTACTCTTATTTTCAAGGGAACTTGGTCAAATTAATCTTTGAAAGCTTGCATCAAATTCCTCAAAAAATCTTTTGACTTTTCTTCCATCTCTTGGACTAGCGTTTCATTCTTCCTGGGATTGTATGTGACTTCACTTGATCCCCCAAGAGGTTTTGCCGGTTCCTGAGAATAGAACAAAGTGCTTGTTGTAAATGCTATCTCGGTTCGTTCCAGTTACATAAAACCAAATTTTGGACCACCAAAAAATACTTGGAGGAGAAGAGGAAAGAGAGAGAGAGAGAGCCTACGATACTGTTACAGGTTTTGATAATTTAGAAAAATATTCTAAGAAGAAAAGCTAAGCTGTAAGAATTTAGGAAAAGAACAAGTTAGTATTGTAGTAACGAATTGCACCTTAATACACTCATATCTTGCTGCTGTAGAGAAGAGGCAAAAGAGAAGGTAATTATGTGTTCTTTCTTATTGTACATACATGTTACATTTAGTTATCTAGCAGAGAAGTGTTGAAACAAAAATCTAAGGAGTGCAATTTTTTTTTTTTTTTGGTCTACAATAAAAACTATCTAATCTACTCATACTTCTACTATCGATGGAGTCTAAAAAGGCTTATATAGGGGTTGAGGGGTGAACGATCATATTTGATAAGTGCATTACTACACTCTCTGAATTTTTTAAGAACAAGAAGTATAGCGCTTCTCGTGAGATGCACTTGGAGGGGTTTGAATCCCAACTTAGTGTACAGAGAAGTTTTAAAGGGCGTCCCTGACCAATGGATCAAGACCTAATGGTTAAATCTAAGGAGTATAGAGTTAGTTGAAATTCTATTGAACAGACAGGTTCTGCTCTAAGCAGCTTTCATTTGGCATTTTATAGTTTAAAATTAGGCATGTTTTTGAGTCTTTTGCTTAAAAAATTGTCTTATTCCCTTTTTACACATTCAAATGAAGGGATATCTTGTAACAAACCCTTAGCCAAAAGTAAAGGAACTTGTCAAGATTACCTGTGGGCTTATTTGTGGCATACTTAATTCTTGAGCTTGAGCTATCTTTTTTGCAAAAGCAATTGGAGCTTCATTGTCGTAGAGCTCCTCAGACCCTTCATCTTTCTCTTTCAACATTCTGGAACTGGATTCATCCATCGGTTTCAATTCACTTGATGTTGATTCAGGACAACTTGAGCTTCTTTCACGACAACTTTCACGAAAATTTCCAAGTTCATAATATCCCTTTTCACTTTCATGATCGCCACATTGACTCCTAAATCCACTATAGTTGGCTTGCTCAGTTGATGTTGTTGAAAAATTTTGCAGATCAGTTTGTCCCCTGTCATATTCATGAACTAGGCATTCATTTCCAAGTCCATTGTTGGCTTCCAAGGCAGAAGTTGTTGAAAGATTTGAGGATTCCTATCAAGTATAATTAGCTGCCATCAACCAATCTTGTTTCTGACAGGCAAGATACTAGTTTGGAGTCATTGAAAGGGCTAGGAAAAAGAGAGATATCCAGGCAAAGAATTCTAATTACTGTGTATAAAGGAGCTAGCACACATGAAATGCATTATTAGTCAGGAACTTCCAGTAATCATATTTTGAATTACATGATTGCATAAGAAACAAATCAAATAGAACAGCAAACTTCTTAAATTGCATTTTTGTTCTTGATGACTGACCTGCAATACGGCATCCCTACCATGTGAGATACAAGATGTTGTATCCTCCACAGCCAATGATGTGGTAACTGGTGCACTCAAAGGCAAACTTTCTCCTCTTGCATCATTCAGGATATTACTAGTTTCTGCCATTGGTGTTCCAAACTCTTCATGCATTTCGTCAGTATAGTGGGATGAAGAGCTGGGATCAATTGAAAATTTGGGTTGCAAAACTGATCTAGGAGACAAGGGTATAATGGAAGGAACTTGCCGAACCAGTAAATGTGGCAGTAATCGTGATACTTGGCGACCATTGTATCTCTCAGTAACTCTTGGGAATCCTCTCTCTGCTGTCTGTTGACCACCTTCATTATCTTGATTTGATTCTTGAGCGTCATGCTCCTCAACTGCCATGGCCATGTCCAAGTTTCCATACTGTGAAATATCAATTGATTCTTCCCCAGAATCTTCAGAGGTTCTGACATTATCATCTTCCCCAATTGCTTCATAATATGCAAATATCTCATCATGCTCTTCCATCATTTCTGCTTGGTCTCCAGTATACCCAATATATGTTGGACTACTCGTCAAAGACCATTCTGCGTGTGCCATTCCACCTTCCTGTATCCAACCATCGGTTCCACTATCTTTGTCTCCAACACTGAAGTTCTCTGCTTTGCTACTTTCGGGCAGATTTGAATCATCATGACCGCAAATCCTCTTCACCTCCTTCTCAATATTCTGAGAGAAATAGGATTGTTGATGGTCCATATGACACGAGAAATAATAAGTTTTAAGTACCTAACATTGTATCTCTGTGTCTTTGTTTGTGTGTGATTCATGCATCAATCTATACGAGATGTTTAGATCTCAATTATTAACAAAAAACCATGAAAAGACTGGAAACTTACAAAATGATAGGACAAATGCTTAAGGATGGCAATTGGGATGGGTACCCACGAGATAAATTGATAGGGGTACCACCCCGCCACCCGTTAAAAAATTTTAAAAAAATATATATAATATATTTAATTTAATTAGTTATAAATTTATAATAATAATAATATTATAAGTATTATATTATGTACATTAGTATATATATAATATAATTAATATTATCAATTATCCTAATAATTGTATATGTATACTAATAAAAATTATTAATTAATTATATTACTAATATATTTATACTAAATTTCTAATTACACTTAACACAATAATATTTTTTTCTTAAAAAAAAAACACAGTAACAGTGGGTAGAACATGCCCCGTTGCCATTCCTACAAATGCTGAGCATAATTACAACCTAACGCAATCTCAAATTAGTGAGTAAAGTCAATAAAAGAATTTAATGTACGTATTGATCCCATTGATATTTGGATCAGAAGTAGAACATGGTTAATTCAATGTCATAAAATGACGAGCAAAAGCTAGAATGTCGATGTTATGGTTTTCTCTCCAAGTGACTTCATCTCACTCCATCTAATGCTGAAAAGGGGAAAAAAAAAGAAAAAGAAAAAAGAAGACTTGCCTCTGGCTTCTCAGCAACACCATTCCTAGAATCACAAGTAATAGGCTTTCGGTAATTCTCTTCACTGCTGAAGTTGAAACCTGATGGATGGTCTTGGCTTGCGTCAGGTAACTCAGCATTTGAAGTTAATTGTGTAAGTGGCTTAGGGGCTTTTTCCGTCATTTTCCCTGCCGATGCAACAGGCTCCTCAGAACTTCTGGTGTTTGATACTTCTACGGTGCCAATTTCGCTAACCTCGTGTATGTCCTTTAATATTGATTCCTTTTCATCTCCTCCACCACATTGATGTGGTGATGCAGCCGATATGTCTTCACTGCTAGAGGTGATTTCTCCTTCCATGCTTCCTTCAGAAATTCGATTTTCATCATGGGATGAGATGCTCCCATCGACTGTTAATGGAGGTGAACTAATTTCGGAAACCTCAACCTGCAAGTCTGAAGAAATGGAATAAGTAGGGGTATGACTGCAAGCCTTGTCAGCAAAGAAGTGTCCCTCCATTCTGTTGTCATGCAACATGGATGGACCGGAGTTAATTAAATCATGCTCCATCTCACTTCTGCTGTCCCACTTTGCGGAAATGTTTCTAGAAACTGGAGATGACAAGGATTTTAGGATTGCATCTTTATCTACTCTTGGAAATTGTTCTTCCTCTTCGGACGACGATGCAGTGCTGGACTTGCCACTTAAATCGTCAGACGGCATCCAGATTGTCTTTTCTTCAGAATTTTCTTCTTCCTGATGACCATCTACTAATTCTTCTCCCTGTTCGGGGCTCTGGATGTGTTCTTGGGCGTAACTATGATCTCTAACCATGTTTGAGTTAGACTTTGGTGGTTGAGATGTCTCAACTTCAATTATCTTCTCAGTGTCTTTTTGATCTGCATCCAAACGGTTAAATATTGATTGAGTCATATGATTAGAAACCAATGTTATATTGCATCGTCTTTCTTGTGTGTGTGTGTGTGTAGATTTTTGTTCGTGTGTGTGTGATTGGTTAGGGTAGCATTTCACCTAATTGGCTTTCTAACTCGGAGTTCTCATGTTGTCCAGAACCCCTCTCCCTCTCCTTGAATGCAGAGTCATAAAATTGAGATGCGTCTTTTCGATCTTGCTTTGATCCTCCTGGGAAGGAAGACTCTAAGCTAGAGCTCTCATGTCTGCTGAACAGATCCTTCTGGTGCAGTGGCAGGAACTCTTGATCAAAACTACCACCTGTAAGAATTGGTTTCTCTTCCTGTGGATCATAAGGAATGTCAAAAGGGTTGTGCATTGGTACCAAGATAGAAGGAGCTGAGCCGGGCATGGGAGAAAACCGGCCTGATGGAGGGTTGAGGATAGAAGGATTATGTCTTGGTACCATTAAAGGGGTAATATGACCAAAAGGCGCACTGTTGTCCATGTTCATCAGTGTCTTTCTTACCTGAAGGCTCAACAATTTGCGTGCTCTTCGCCTTGCAATTAAGCTCTCCAACCTCCTGTTTCTCTCAATCTCAGAAATTCCGACATCCATCAGATTCTTCTGATCATCCTCATTCCACTGCACAGCCTTGTTATTTTCCTCTTTATCACGCTCATCATCTTCCCCTTCTGTGCCTTCTGAACTCTCTGTCTCTATCTCGCCTCTCTCGCGATCAAGCCTCTGAGACCCTTCATGGGATTGAATGCGAAATTCAGGTCTTAAATCTCGCTGACGATTTTAGGATTGCATCTTTATCTACTCTTGGAAATTGTTCTTCCTCTTCGGACGACGATGCAGTGCTGGACTTGCCACTTAAATCGTCAGACGGCATCCAGATTGTCTTTTCTTCAGAATTTTCTTCTTCCTGATGACCATCTACTAATTCTTCTCCCTGTTCGGGGCTCTGGATGTGTTCTTGGGCGTAACTATGATCTCTAACCATGTTTGAGTTAGACTTTGGTGGTTGAGATGTCTCAACTTCAATTATCTTCTCAGTGTCTTTTTGATCTGCATCCAAACGGTTAAATATTGATTGAGTCATATGATTAGAAACCAATGTTATATTGCATCGTCTTTCTTGTGTGTGTGTGTGTGTAGATTTTTGTTCGTGTGTGTGTGATTGGTTAGGGTAGCATTTCACCTAATTGGCTTTCTAACTCGGAGTTCTCATGTTGTCCAGAACCCCTCTCCCTCTCCTTGAATGCAGAGTCATAAAATTGAGATGCGTCTTTTCGATCTTGCTTTGATCCTCCTGGGAAGGAAGACTCTAAGCTAGAGCTCTCATGTCTGCTGAACAGATCCTTCTGGTGCAGTGGCAGGAACTCTTGATCAAAACTACCACCTGTAAGAATTGGTTTCTCTTCCTGTGGATCATAAGGAATGTCAAAAGGGTTGTGCATTGGTACCAAGATAGAAGGAGCTGAGCCGGGCATGGGAGAAAACCGGCCTGATGGAGGGTTGAGGATAGAAGGATTATGTCTTGGTACCATTAAAGGGGTAATATGACCAAAAGGCGCACTGTTGTCCATGTTCATCAGTGTCTTTCTTACCTGAAGGCTCAACAATTTGCGTGCTCTTCGCCTTGCAATTAAGCTCTCCAACCTCCTGTTTCTCTCAATCTCAGAAATTCCGACATCCATCAGATTCTTCTGATCATCCTCATTCCACTGCACAGCCTTGTTATTTTCCTCTTTATCACGCTCATCATCTTCCCCTTCTGTGCCTTCTGAACTCTCTGTCTCTATCTCGCCTCTCTCGCGATCAAGCCTCTGAGACCCTTCATGGGATTGAATGCGAAATTCAGGTCTTAAATCTCGCTGACGATTTTAGGATTGCATCTTTATCTACTCTTGGAAATTGTTCTTCCTCTTCGGACGACGATGCAGTGCTGGACTTGCCACTTAAATCGTCAGACGGCATCCAGATTGTCTTTTCTTCAGAATTTTCTTCTTCCTGATGACCATCTACTAATTCTTCTCCCTGTTCGGGGCTCTGGATGTGTTCTTGGGCGTAACTATGATCTCTAACCATGTTTGAGTTAGACTTTGGTGGTTGAGATGTCTCAACTTCAATTATCTTCTCAGTGTCTTTTTGATCTGCATCCAAACGGTTAAATATTGATTGAGTCATATGATTAGAAACCAATGTTATATTGCATCGTCTTTCTTGTGTGTGTGTGTGTGTAGATTTTTGTTCGTGTGTGTGTGATTGGTTAGGGTAGCATTTCACCTAATTGGCTTTCTAACTCGGAGTTCTCATGTTGTCCAGAACCCCTCTCCCTCTCCTTGAATGCAGAGTCATAAAATTGAGATGCGTCTTTTCGATCTTGCTTTGATCCTCCTGGGAAGGAAGACTCTAAGCTAGAGCTCTCATGTCTGCTGAACAGATCCTTCTGGTGCAGTGGCAGGAACTCTTGATCAAAACTACCACCTGTAAGAATTGGTTTCTCTTCCTGTGGATCATAAGGAATGTCAAAAGGGTTGTGCATTGGTACCAAGATAGAAGGAGCTGAGCCGGGCATGGGAGAAAACCGGCCTGATGGAGGGTTGAGGATAGAAGGATTATGTCTTGGTACCATTAAAGGGGTAATATGACCAAAAGGCGCACTGTTGTCCATGTTCATCAGTGTCTTTCTTACCTGAAGGCTCAACAATTTGCGTGCTCTTCGCCTTGCAATTAAGCTCTCCAACCTCCTGTTTCTCTCAATCTCAGAAATTCCGACATCCATCAGATTCTTCTGATCATCCTCATTCCACTGCACAGCCTTGTTATTTTCCTCTTTATCACGCTCATCATCTTCCCCTTCTGTGCCTTCTGAACTCTCTGTCTCTATCTCGCCTCTCTCGCGATCAAGCCTCTGAGACCCTTCATGGGATTGAATGCGAAATTCAGGTCTTAAATCTCGCAGACGATTGGAGGAAGAACATTCAGCGTGGACAACTAGAGAATCCACTTCCACCTCTCGAATTTCTTTCGGTTGTTGTTCTATTATAGCACTTTTATCAACCGTACCATGGTTAAAGGTTGATGAGAAAACGGTGCTTTTCTCCTCCTCGCTTGTTTGCGAGTAATCATCCCTGCTTGTCTCTCTTGATCTTCTTCGTCTAACAGATCGGGCATGCACATCATTTTTGACAAGTCTACTCGTCCTAACAGGTTTTGCGCCATCGCTAGCATTCTTCTCGTCTCTTTTGGGATTCTTGGCATTGCCAAATCTATAATATAATTTAGCGGTTGAAACAACTATGCAGACAAATGTAGACAAGTATATCACCAGCCAAAAGAGCGAGGGATTACATGCATAAAGAAGTCCAAGGAATATCAAAGTAGATGAAACATATGGGTGAGTTTTCACACAGTTCCAAACAAATCTGATCGAAAAGTAAAGAACTTTTAGCATGCAAACTTGAACGTCCTTCCTGCTAATAGCCATTTCTATTTCTGGGAAAATTTCGCCTTTTCATGCAAAGCTTTTTCTGTTCTCAAATGGTTCAATAACCCTCGGAGGAATAAATCCAATATCCCAATTGTCGACCGAATAGATGAACCAAAGGAAATAGGAAAAGAAAAGGGGAGAGACAGAGAAAGGGGGGGAAAATAGCACGATTACTCCAAAAAATTTTTCAAGTGACCACACAAGAGTTTGTTATGAAAATGAGAAACACTATGAGAAGGCAATGAAATTAGTGTGGATAGAAAGAATTCGTTGGCTTTGCCTTTAAATTCGAGGCCGATAAATGAAAGAATTTTGAAAATCTTTCTTTGGTTGACAGCTACTTTGGCTCCTTTCTTTGAGGCCATCGCTTATGTACTCATCATCCTATTTTCGTGGTAACTAAACTATACACTAGAAGAAGAGCACAGGAAGGCAGTCGCGGAGATAGACAGCGAATGCGGTTTTAGCAAATGATGATATATTATTGATCGGATATCCCCTTTCCTACTTCACTCATATATTTTTTCCATCCCTACTGTACTGTTGTAGCAGTGCATGTTTTGAGGATAGATTCAGCTTTTGCAAATTAAATCCACTTTGTACGTAATTTAATTATGATCAAGGTAAAATTAGTACTAGTTTGGGAGATAATACATAAAACTTGAATTAATTATTGATGTCTGGAATAACAAATTAAGTTGGCACATTTTCACCCAAAATTTCCTTCTGAATCATTATGACGGGAATATATTATACTGCTGTTTTTGACGGCTACACCTCACTAAACGGGAAGAAGTATCAGCAAATGCGTTATAACTCAAAATTACTTGGTCTCGAGTTTAAAGGTAAGTGGGTTGTTCTTTTTTGTCAAAGCCAAGAAATGACTTTTGATAATTTTACAAACCTTAACCCAACAGGAAACCACAAAAGCGGCCAACTTTTATGGTTCCTGCAGCCAACTTTTATGGTAAGTGGGTTGTTCAAAAACCAAATTTGTGTCGGTCACCGACCGCAACACCTTGACCGTGACTCTTGAAGGCGCGCTTTCGTAATCTGCAGCAACCACGCCTTGATTCCACTACTCGCAACCTATGAAGGCTCTCTTAACAGTACGAGCTTATTGTTTTTTTTTTTTTTTTTTTTCACAGTGATAATATTTTTATAATCTACTCGAAAATACTATCGGAGGAAGTCATTCAAAATAACAAGTCACAAATAATAGCTAATGGGAGACAAGATTTGAACCCTTGATCTCTCACCTACAACCAAAACTTGAAGTTTTGATGATGACCAACAGATCAAATAGTTGTTGGCGTAATACGAGCTTATTGAGAAATGCGCTTGCTTTCAACTGATGAAGGGGAAAAAAAAAAGTTAAGAAAAAGAAAACCTTTGTTTTTATTTTTGAGGAAAAAGAAAACCTTTTTTCACGCAAACAAATGACTAAGAACGTACACTGAGACGTTAAATCCCGAGGCCAACGGTGATACATGGCGGTGGACATGCATGCTAATTCAACTCTATTCTCCTTCCCATGCATATGACAATGATAACGATGACTTTATTTTTCTCCTTAAGCGAAAAATGTAGTTGTATTTGGTTCTCCAGTAGTTTGTCATTGGTTCTTTCATAATCAAATAACGGTTTCTTTTAAATTTTTCATAGACCACATGATTAATTAATATACAAGCCCACGAGAAAGAATGCATTCTTGGTTTGTAGATTCGTGAGATTGTGAAAGTTTCACTTCAATCACTACTACATAGAAAGTCAGAAGAAATTCGAAATAACTCCATTTATTCACGTATGTATCTTGTCTATTACACGTGCCATGAGATAAGATTTTATCATTTCATGGGCCATGGCAGACGACCGTATGGAAGACGAAAGATTTTTGAGAATATTTCCAACCTTGAATATCCAAACCTGAGAAAGAAAAGAGCGGACCAACAAACTGGCAATCAAATTCCACCGCTGCCTCTCCACAATTATTCTAAAAATGTCTTCACATTTTTTTTCCCCGTAGCTAATCCAGGAAAACTTCTTCTCAAACCCTTCATTCACAGCCAAAAGCGAAAAAAGAATGGACGACAGGTTTGTTTGGATTGCTTCATATTTTCCCAATTTTATTTGCTTACATCATATTTACAATTTTCAATATACCTTTTTATCTTCCCAATATCTTTTTATCTCACATACATCACATCACAAAAAGTGCTACAATAAAAAATATCTCAAATAATCCCAAATAACTTACCATCCAAACAGACCCGTGACGATCGACGTCAAACAATTTGTTAGATACAAGAAAGAGATGATGGCCCTCGCCACGCTAAAAATCCAACTCAGGCAAAGGCAACTTGTGGTCGTCATACAATCCCCCACTCCACAAAATGTCAATAACAGCAAACCAACAAAATCTGCCCAAGTTATCCTCACAATCCATTTATTAGCACAGGATTGTAAATGCAAATTAGTTGATTTGATAAGGTCAAATCACTCCAAAAAAAAAAAAAAAACAAATGCATTCGAGTCTTACTATTGATGTAAATACTGCATTGATATTCGTTGATTGATAAGGTAAGTCAAGAAGTCAATATGATATATTTAAATTACGCTGTTAATATAAATATTGATATTAATAATGTATTGACGGATGATTTATGAATATCTATTAATAGTGTATTGATAAATGATCCTAGAAATTCGTCTAATATCTTGACTCGAAGTATCCAATTTTTTCCCTTAGAGGGAAAAATTTAGCACGCCCTCTCCCCCGATCCTTTGCACGCTACCACCACAGTTTAAACGCATAAATACAGATCAAGATTATAAACGCCCTAAGATTTTTATTTAAATGCGACATGCCCAAACAAACTAACAAAAGAGGGGTATCACGAAATATATATATATATATAAAAGTAGTATTAACTATTAACCCATGGTCTAATTCTACAGCCGGAAACCGTCTCTCCCGGCAATCCAACGGCCTACACCTCCTTTTCAATCTCACCTCCACGATTAAATAGATTCTCTCAAACTTTGGATCGTTTACCCTCTTCCCTTTCTCTCCCTCTCTCTATTTGCTGTACGTATATACACATATGGTTTCTGTGTTTTCACTTTGATAACCTCTGCTTCTTCTTCTGGGCTCGGATATGGCCGCTCCGCTCGAACCTTTACGACCCATTATTCACAGTCAAATTTCCATCAACTATAATCCTAATCTCAAATATTTATATCATCACAGTTTCTTGTGTAACAGATACGGAGCGATAAACACAAATTTGTTTTCCTTCACGCTCAATTCGACGTCCTGTCGAGCTCAATCTAGGTCTTCGTTCGAATTCTATCCGATAAATCTCTGGGGAGTTTGTTCCAAGCTCCAAAAGCTCAGAGATAGTGTCAGAGTTCGGGCCAATAGTTCTTGTGAGCACGACACCGATTCTGCTGATAAAGGGGAAACGAAAACTAGTGAAACCAGAAGTGGTTCGACTCCGGGCCCGGGTTCTGGGTCCGGTACTGGTTCTTCGAGGAGGGAGAAGCAAGGGAAAGGGAATTGGTGTTGGTCCAAGGGGAACAATAAATGGCAATGGCAACCAATAATTCAAGCACAGGAAATTGGGGTTTTGCTGTTGCAATTAGGTATCGTTTTGTTTGTCATGAAGCTGCTTCGCCCTGGGATTCCCTTACCTGGTTCGGAGCCTAGGCCTCCGACTTCGTTTGTGAGTGTTCCGTATAGTGAGTTTTTGAGTAAGATTAACAGTAATCAGGTGCGGAAGGTGGAGGTTGATGGGGTCCATATAATGTTCAAGTTGAAGGGTGCTGAGTTGGGTGTTGCGGGGAGTGAGATGAATAGTAAGTTGCAGGAATCAGAGTCCTTGCTGCGTAGCATGAGCCCCACGAAGAGGGTGGTGTACACGACTACAAGGCCGAATGATATCAAGACTCCATATGAGAAAATGCTGGAGAATGATGTGGAATTTGGTTCCCCAGATAAGAGGTCTGGAGGGTTCATGAATTCTGCATTGGTAAGCTTTTTGGTGTTGTTCTTCGGACCAAATACTGTATCTGTGGTGATTTCTGCTTGTTTATGGACACATACAGACACATAGATGATGATATTGGATTGAAGACACCATCCATGTGGATGCTCACTTGTTGAATGTAGACTCTGCGTATTCATTTATATGATCTAAACTAGAGCTATCACCCTCGTTATGTCTGTCGCTATTGTTGTATTTAGAGGATATTTCTGCTCGTGGTACTGTTGTCGGGGTGATATTAAATGACTGAGGGTTGCAACTTCAATTTTACGAATCATCGTGTGAGAGAGGACACCAATGATAACAAATAGGAAGTAAAATCTTTTGGCAGAACCGGGAAATTTTTAATTGTTTGAGTTTGTGACATCCTTCTTTTAGCAGAGCCGGCCCTTCCTGCTATATCACTAACGTGCTACAACTTGTATTCCAAATGTCACCACCCACATTCCAAAATGCCAGTAGGCGCTGTGCTTGTTCTTGCCTTTATCAATCATGCTTTCTAGGTTATTGTCTATTATAGCAAATTTCTTTGGTCAACGTGGAATTGCAGTTTACACTGTCCTCAAAATTTTGAAACTGATTCTATGATGTATAACTTTTTCCTGCTTCATTGCAGATAGCTTTGTTCTATATTGCTGTGCTTGCAGGTCTTCTTCATCGGTTCCCTGTAAGCTTTTCTCAGGTGTGAATCTTGATACCTTATTCATCTATTCTCTGAATTTTAATTCTAGGGCTGAGGATTAGACTGATTTCTTTATGCCTTCATTCAGCATACAGCAGGGCAGCTTAGAAACCGCAAGTCTGGCGGTTCTGGTGGTTCCAAAGTATCTGAACAAGGGGAAACAATTACTTTTGCTGATGTTGCAGGTGTTGATGAGGCTAAGGAAGAACTTGAAGAAATTGTGGTACTGTAAACGTTCTTCTGATTTTCAATATGATGTTGCACATGGG